ACCCCCAGCCCCAAGATTCTTCTTTAATAAATGGTTACTCCTAGAATGCTGTTACTGTAATTAACACCATGACCAAAAACTTGAGGTGCTTATTTCAATTTAAAGGTTACAGTTGGTCCATCATCTAGGGAAGCCAGCACAGGACAAGAGCTTGAAACAGAGGCCATGGAGGAACACTTACTGGCTTGTTTAGCCTGCTTTGTTACCCAGGGGTACAATGGGTGGGGCCCTGCAAGAAAGATCATTAACAAGAAAATGGTCTGATGGAGAGAACTCAACTGAGGTTCCCTCTTCCCAGGTGACTCTATAGTTTGTGCCACTGAATAATAAATTTTATGTAACACCACTATTAGGAAGCTTATTTTATAAAATCAACAACAGTCTGTTAACTTACTCATAATTTTAGCTGTGCCTCAATACTTCATGCATATCTCACCTTCCATATACTGTTCTTTTCTGGTTTACATTTGCTGATTTTCTGACTTTTTTTTTTCCTTGAAGTGTTTTCACCGAGTTGAAAGCTGCAGTTTTGTTTCAATTTATTTAAATCGCATTAAATATGGGTGTACCACACTGTGCTTTTGTTCTTGATACGGCAGAATAGTGGTATGACTTTATAGAGGCCTTAAGTCCATTTTGTTTCTTCCTCACTTTCAATTGTTTTTCTCCTTTAAATATCATCTTTCAACTCCAAACAGTGAGACACGCCTTTATTGGCCCGAGAGGCTGACATTTCCAAACCCTAAGGTACAGGAGGACACAGTGTAGGGTAGTTCAGTGTGTGTGTTGGGGGCTGGGGCACTGCACAAGGTGTGGCTGGCCCAGAAACTGCTGTTTGGGTAAAAAGTCATTTTCTAAACTGCAAGGTAAGTCAAACTGCCTCTCTTTTGTGATCTTGGGGCTCCAGAGCGAGTGTTTACTACTTTATGGGATTCCATGGGCAGCAGATTTGGGGCCCTGTTTTGGGATAGGGGGTTTATTTCAAACCTTTACATAAACAGTAGAGGGCTTCATTTTCTGTCTTGCCCTTTAAATATCTTAAGAGACTTTATATGTGATATCCCATTATCTAGAAGGCAGATGTTTTCATTCAGATTTATCTTCCTTTTCTGTACACACACACACACACACACATACACACACATATGCCAAAAGTTACTTTCTCTTACATCTCATGGTATTCTGTAGTGTAAGCTTTCAGTTTTGCTTATGAGTATGCTGTGGAACAATCCTTCTGTACATTGTGTAAATTACACTGATTGGTTTAATAAAGAAGCTGACTGGCCAATAGCTGGACAGGATAAGGTTAAGACAGAAAACCAGACTGAGGACACTGGGAAGAAGGGCGGAGTCAGAGGAGTGGCCATCAAGACACAGAGGAAACAGGAGGTGCAAAATTAAAGAGAAGTAATGCCATATTGGTAGAATGTAGATTACTATAAATGGGTTAAGTTGTAAGAGTTAGTTAATAATAAGCCTGAGCTATAGACCAAGCATTTATAATTAATATCAAGTCTCCATGTCAGTTATTCAGGGACTGGCAGGCAGAAAGAAAAGTCTGCCACATGTTTAACCCCTGGAGAGTGCTACATTTCATATACTGTGTTGTTTGTTCTTTCAATGTGTTTTGTTCATTCAACATTTGAAAGCAAACTCAAGAGGGAAAAAACACCCAAACAAACCAAAACACTGGCTGAAACAGGTGATGAAGGAGACACTGTATTGAACTTTAGAAATTACATGTTAATATTGGTAGGCACTGGGGGCTGAAGAGATGACTAGAGTAGTGGCTACTCTTCCGGATGACCTTGGTTCAATCCCCAGCTTATAACTGTCTATAACTCCAGTTCTAGGGGATCTGACCCTCTCACACACATACATGCAAGCAAAACACCAATGCACGTACATACACATATGTACATACACACACACACACACACACACACACACACACACACACACACACACACACAAATGAATGGACCTAGTGACTCACTCCTATTAGGTTCAGTTAATCAGAAGGCAGAGGTCACCAGTTTGACACCAGCCTGGTCTACACAGCAAATTCCAGGCCAATGGAGTTGGAGGAGGGGCCGCTTAAGATGAGTTGGTAGAGCATGGAGCATGGCTGTAATCCCAGCACTTGGGAGGCTAAGGCAAATGAATCATGAATTCCAGGCCAGCCTGGGCTATCAGATGAGATGGTAAAGGGCCATAACCTAACTTAGCTTTCACTCCCAAGAGTCAAGTAAGAACTAAAGTCAAGTCATTAGTTTTAAGGGATTGGCATCAGTTTTAACCTAGAAGACAAATAAACATCATGATAGACATTGAAGAGGCAGAAAGAGAATGGGTTTGATAATTCACAGCTGTCAATGAATCAATGTTGTGTGGGTGATACTTAAAACTCAGCTTTGCCACTTAGCTGAACGCACACTGACAAGTTAACCTCTGTAATCTTGATCTCCTGATTAAAATCTATAAGGCAAAAATTCTAGTGGTTGGGGCTGGAGAGAAGGCTCAGCAGTTAAAAGTACTGACTACTCTTCCAGAGGGCCCAGGTTCAGTCTGCACCATCCACATGCCAGCTCACAGCTATCCAACTCCAGTCCCAGGAGCTCCAAGGACCTCTTCTGGCCCCTATGGAAATGAGGCACAGAGGCACATAGCGCACAAACATTTATGCAGGCCAAATACCAATGGATTTTTAAAAAATTGTTATGGTTATATTAAAAAACAAAACACCAGAAGACATGTACCAGTATAAGACTGCACAGTTATGGTCACAAAGATCAAAAATTAAATGAAGAGAGCTAACAGGAATAACGTATGCTAATTCTGAGAAAATAATTTTAAAACCTAAAATAATCACCAATCTTAATAGGACAAAGTACGTTATTTGTGAGCAAAGTACCATCGTGTTCATGGATGCCACAACAGGTTAAATAACCCACTTTAATTTTTTTTTTCTTGCTCTCAGGAGCTTCACTAAAAGCTACAACTTGATTTCTCCATAAACATGTTTCTTCATTGTTGTGGCAAATCCCTGCTTTATTCTAGCTCAAATATCAAAGCATACAGTTTACCAAGGCAGGGGAAGTAGCAAGTACTTGTGGTACAATCTGTTTACATATTGGCAAGGAAGGAAGCAGTGTGTACGGCATGAGGGAACCAGGGATAGTTCACTCAAAAGGGCCTACTTCTTCCAGACAAGCCCCTTACCTAAGCAGTGCTACCAGAAAGAGACCAAGTGTTTAAACAAATGAGCGTATGAGGGCCATTTCAGTCAAGCCATAAGTCATGTATAGCAAGCTTTCATCGTGGACAGGGTTTCCTCTAAGGCAAGTGACCAGCCTACTGCAGTCTATGTAGCAGCAGATACCGTATCAATAAATCTCAAATGCCAAAACTGAACCTAAATATTGCCATTTTGCAGCTTACCAGCTTCTTGGGTTTTTTCCCCCTTGTGTTTTGAGTCTAGGAGTTAATTCTTGCTTCTACTTTGCTAAGGCAAGGCCTTTTGTTTCTGTAGCTAGATGATCTATAAGCTTCCAAGCCAGTCTTTCTCCTGTCTCTCTCTCTCTCGATCTTCTCTCTATAGATGATGTTGGGATTAGATTTCTTATGCTCTAGGGATCCAATCTGGGTCACTGGGCTTTCATGGCTAGCACCCTTACCCTCTATGCCACCTTCCCAGCTCTATTGTACCATTAAACATGCTTTGTAAACAAGGATTAAGAGAGCAATGGGCCAGGCAGTAGGGGGGCACACACCTTTTATTCTAGCACTCAGGAGGAAGAGGCAGGCAAATATGAGTTTGAGGCCAGTACTGTCTACAGAGCGAGTTCCAGGACATCCAGTGTTACATAGAACAAACAGGATGGCCCAGAACGTGAGCTCCTCCTTTGACTTCCAAGCACTTGGGTTACAGGTGCTGATTACCATACCTGGCTATTAATTTAACACAGTAAAATAAAACAAAAAAGGCTTGAGTATAGTTGCTCTTATAGAAAAGTTCAGTCAAATTTAGGTATACGGTTGCATAAATTAAATGACTCATAAAAAAAATCTTAATTGAGTAAAAAAACCCAAAAAACAGTACACCAGGGATCATCAGGAAAAGGCCTAACCTGTGTTCAACCCCCAGAACCCATGTGCAAGGTGGAAGGAGTGAACACTCTTGTGTTTTCCTCTGGCATCCACATGTGCAATGTGGCAAGCTCTCCCTGCCTCACACAAATTCTACTGTAACTGAAAAACAATACAGGCATTGGAATACAGGGTGGGGGGGGGATGGGGACGGGACACCAAAAACAGAAACAAAAAACCCCCACCACCCTTACCATCTTGCATGGACCAAATAAAGAGGTTGATTTATTCTCCACTTTCTGCTAGGGATTAAACCCAAGACCTCAATAGGTAATCAACAATGAACTGTATCATCTCCCACCTCACAAGCAAATCTTCAAACATCTAATCAAACACAGTTCAAAGGATCATGAATCCATACTGCTTCCCTACTTACTCACTCTTATCCCTGTATCCTCTAGATCTTGCCATCTGAATCCTTCCCAGTATTCTGTACCTATGTCCAACTCACTCTGGCACCTCTACTAAAGGTAACATTATTGCCCTTTGCAAGTATCCTAATGCCGAACTGCAAATTTTATGCTGACTTTTAGCTCATTTCTCATTAAAAAAAAAAAAAAAACCAAAAAACTCCTTAAATATAAACAATCACTTACAGATACCAATTTTCACAAAGCTAAAAATGCCCCCATTGCTCAAAATTTCCAAGAATCTAAGTAAAGGAGGGCACTACTATCATGCCCTAAGCTAAGACTTACTCAAGATGACCAATTTCTACAATGAATAGTTTGCTTCACATCCAAGTAAGCTTTTCATTCCATAAAGATCAATCAGGAAATGAAACAGTCTCCTAGGCAATCAGTATCTAATCACAATGTGCCAGGGTTTTGATAACACAGCCACACAATCTCTTGAAATTTAAAGAAAAATTTATTGAAGATCTGAAAAACAATTCCTACAAGATTGACTTTTCCATAAAACTGTAGCTACACGATGCATTGCGTCTATCATGTTAAAACGTGCATTAGACACAAATACAAAAACCATGAAACAAGCCACCATTCTTTAACAATTAAGCAAAGATAAAATGCCTAAGGAACAACATGGATGACTTGCAAAGGATGGGCTCTTTAAGCACCATTAAAAAAAAAAAAGAGCACAGATGGATGAGTGTTCAGTTATATACACTGAAGTGAACCTTTGGCACTAGGAATCAGAGCATTTTGTCATAGAGCATTAACACATATTATAAAAGTGCGTAGTGTCAAAGGAACAGAACCACCAGCATTCAAAAGCAGCTTTGTCAACTAGGCAATAAAACACTCTACAGCATGTCTCTCTGTTGTCCATCACTGAATACACTGGTAGAAACTTTGAAATGAAAAAAGAAAGAAAAAAGGAGCAGGCACTCCTTTTATTTTTCTCTGTTTAAAATCAAACAGAAAACAAACATCAATTCTGTTATACACTAACGGTCTTCAAAGTACATCATTTGTACAAGAGAAGGACTAAGAACCAAATTGTTTACAGAGATCCAAGCACGAGTGAGAGTGAGCACACCCCTCACACGGCTTTCCGATGGTACTCAGGAGGAGCCACTTCATAATCACTGGCACTGAACAAAGTTGCAGAATTCTTCGCCAGGTACCTAAAAAAAAAAAGTTAACTCATTGTAATAATGTTAAAAGTTATATTCAATACATAGATCACTGCCTCCTTGAAAAATATTACAATCCAAACCAGTAAGGTAACAAAGATGCATTAGTGCCAAGTTACTCTCTTCTAAACGAGGAACAACCTGAGGGAATGTGCAAACAGCTATCCTATTATATAGCAGTACTACCCTAAACAATACTCATTTTCTTTAGCTTATTAAATACTGTTTAACACCATACAAGGAAGTCTACACATTTTAAGTCTAAACCTGAAATAAAAGGATGCGAAATGTAAAAATAGTGCATTTCTGTATTATCAAAGAAATTGGCGTCCAGAGAAAATATTTACCACTGTTAGCAAAAGGACTATAAATAAAAAACTCCAATCCTTTACCTACAAAACCAAGTCCAAGAAGTAATCCACAGTAACTATGATCCATATTCTGAAAATTCCAGTCTTTTTCAAATGGAAATGTTTCTCTCCAAATAAGAATCAGAACACCACCTGCCACTACAGCTGATTTCTTCTCCAATTCGGTGTTAAATAGTATCCTTGTTAGGATATTTAGAGCAACCTATCATTTTCAAAAGCTGCTTGATTTTAAATTCTCCCCTATTATAAAAATGTCATCCAACATCATAAGCTAGAGCTGCCTCTTCCCATTTCTTCAGTCAACTAATTTGACAAAAAAGTGTTTACTCCTAACTTGTATCTGTATTATATCATTGGATATTATTTATTTTTTTATTTTTTGGTTTTTCAAGACAAGGTTTCTCTGTGTAGCTTTGCGCCTTTCCTGGAAGTCACTCTGTAGACCAGGCTGACCTCGAACTCACAGAGGTCCGCCTGCCTTCTGCCTCCTGAGTGCTGGGATTAAAGGCCTATGCCACCACCGTGGGCATTATTTTTGAGACAGGTCTCCACATAGCTCAGTCTGACCTCAAACTTAAAAAATCCTTCTACATCAATTTTGGCAGGTATACTAAAATAAGTATTCTTATTATTTGTATTTCCTCTTATATTTTGCATAATCCTCCAACTTAGATATTATTGCTATTTTTAAGTTCTTTTCTTATTACTCCCTTACCCATTTATCTTTTTACTTTCTAATACATGTGGACTGTAAATCTACAAAATTAACCTACAGTGTTTTCACTGTCTTAATAGCTTGGAGATTTAATCACTCCATCATTTCCCATATACCACCTACATGATTACTCTCCCATCATCTGTGAGATTCCCGTATATGCTATTTATACTGTTCTAGTGCCTTATTGACACCTGTACAAATATACTACTTATTTTAGTAATTATCATGTCAATCTCTCCTTTCATACATTAATTTTAAGTAATCATCCCAATTGCTTATGATTCCAATTAAACTTACTTGAGGAAATCATGTAGATAGTTCAGTAATAAAGCAAGGCTTTTCTCATCTAGAGGTGTATAGGCCAACATTGCTCCAATTCGCACTATTTAACAAAAGAATTCAGTTAAAGTTATATCCAAAGGCAGCACTATAACCATACATGTTAACTATGTAAGAAGTAAATGAGTTGTCAGATTCCATAAAACTAAATGACTTTATGCATATTCATAGATGCATGTGTATGTGTCTTGTAAGCTAAAGACAACTATGAATGTGTCTTTCCTCCAGTGCCATCCACTGGACCGGGGTTCACAACTAAGTCAGGGAAGCCAGTGAGAACTCAAGATGCCACATCTACATCCCCAGCACTAGATCAAAGTATCCACCACTATACCCAGCTTTTTTATGTGGGTTTGGGAGGGGGCCCTCAGAGTTGGATTTTATGGATTGATCCCCAATCTGGTTAATGATTTTTCAAAATTCTTTTTCAAAGAGATTCTGCCATTAAAACCTTTTAAATAAAATTTTAAAGAAAAATTCAGTCATGTTTTGAATAGTTATTTTACCTCTCAGTCATTTAGTAAAGATCAAAAAAATCAATTATTAAAGACTCAAAAAAAAGGGAGAAAAGATAAAATCATGTTTCTTAAAAGTCTTATTACCAAATAATCTCAGTAAATGTGGTGCTCCATACACCTGGGACATGGGTGCATCAGGGTGATCTGCAAGAATTTCAGCATACTGTGGTCTCTCAAATTTGTAGAGTAGCTGAGTGCCCAGCATTACATTGAAGTATTCCTTTATCCCTGCTACAACCTCATTAACAGCATACTCCCTGATGAAAGAACAAAAATATTACTTTCAAAATATGTAAAGGTTAAGGAACTACAGCTAAGGCATTTTTTATAAGTAAATGCTAAGGCATTTTTTATAAGTAAAATCAATTTCAAATTTATGTAATAAAGGATTTGGAAAACTACAGCCCTGTCAAAATAAGAAGGTATTTATGCTTTCAAAATAGCAAAACCTTTAATGGCCGTGTTAAGTACCTACAACATAGCTTCAATTATACCTAAAATAGTACTTAAGTAATTTGGGTATACTCAAATAAGTATTCTTACTTATTATCTGTATTTCCTCGTGATTTCTTATAATTTGCATAATCCTCCAAAATGGAATCCACATTCTTCTTGGCAGGAAGATAAAAAAGCTAGGGAAAAAAATTAAAATAATGTTTATAAAGAAAAATTACATTTGTTCCCACAAGGTGAAGCACAAAAGTAGGTGAAGCACAGAAAGAGAAAGGTGCTCAAGAACACAAATACTACACAGGGAGATAAAACTTGCATAATCCAACCAAATAACTCCAAGCAAATTCCAACTATGTCTATGAACCCCAAATCACAGGAACCCTTAGCAATCACTATTATTCGAATCCCCATCACGACCACTACACCTGTCATTTGTCAATTTAAATAGTCTGGAGTTCCTAAATCTGGTTTAGGTAACCCCACTCTTTGTGACACTGAAGTTTTTCTGGATTCCTATATTCCTACATCATGAAAGTAGTTTCTTAAGATTTTGAACTTTCAGTGGGGAAGAAGGAAGCACCTTAAGACTAAGCAAGTAAACAAACAAGACTCAGAAAGCTGACACTTAAAAGATCCACAGGGTCCTTCCCAGCAGCTAATATGGATCCCAGGGACACAACTTTCACATGCAGCTTTTCTGAGTCATGGTTCATTTAGGGGTGGGCTTTTCAGTGGTATACCTACTTTTTAATTGTTTATATTTCTGTAATCAACCCATCATTCATGCTCCGTAAACCCCAAAACGTCATTATTTGCCAAGCTGGCATGCTGTTGGCATCTGTTCTATCTTAAATGGTTAATTTGTCTACATCTCCTCAGGGGGAAAATTATACAATATCCTGCAAATAAGTAACTAAACCTAGGACCTTATTTACATTCAGGATCAATTGCAGGTAATGCTATATGCTTTCTACTACTATATTCCTATCAGGACATGTATAAATGCTGTATTGTCAGTAATATCAAGACGGAAAACGTATGTTTCTCCATTAGTTTTTTTTGAAGCAACTTCCAACTTTCTTAATCATAATAAACTAGTGAAATTTTAAGGAACTGGAGAGATGATGGTTCAGCAATTAAGAGCATGAGAGAATCTAGGTTCAATTCCCAGCACCCCACATGGTGGCTAATCATCTCCAATTCTAGTTCCAGGAGATCCAATGCCCTCTCTGGCCTCCACAGGCACTGTATACATGCCATGCCATGCAGACATACATATCCATAATATCCATATCCAGACAAAAAAAATCCATAAAATTAAAAAAATATATTAAAATATTTCAGTTATAAAACTTCAAGCCTTTTTTCTTTTCACCAAATACCACATAACTACAACTTTTGTCATTTTCAAGTTACCTGCTTTTGTCTGGTAATCAAGTCCCAGTCATCCACAAGCCATGGTTTCAGCTCCTCAGGAATCTTTACTTTAACTTCAACTCTGTTCATGAATGTTTCTTCCTAGATAGAAATATTGCAAACTTTTCTTAATAGTAACTTCTCTCTTGAAGGTTAAGAGAGACACCGAATATACACTAATTTCTTCATAAAGAAGGAATTGTCACCGAAACAACAAAAACATGAAATCATATAGTCAGCAGAAAGGAATACAGTCTTAAGTCATAGTGGCCCTTCCTGTATTTTTCTCTTCTGAAAAATGGAATATCCTGAATTGATACAACTTAACACCATCTTCACATTTACTGTTGATACCCAAATGATTACCCCAACATGGCTTTCTTCTCCTGCCTCCTCCCTGAGACATGGTCTTACAATGCAGCTCTGGCTATCCTGGAACTCACTACATAGACCAGGCTAGACTCAAATACATAAATAAAATGGCCTCTTACACAAAGATCTGCCTGTCTCTGCCTCCTGAGGGCTGGGATTAAAGGCATGCACCACCATGCACAGCTAACATGGCTATCTTTAAATATACTTTTTTTTTTTTCTGATTTACTTCTAGACCAGAACCTGCCTATGCACTTTGGTAGCATATGTTATTACCCAAATACTTCAAAATCTGAGGCATGAGGCTCTAAAATCCCAAAGCTAGCCAAAGCCACACAAGACCCTGTCTCAAACAGTGGGAGGGAAGGGAGTGGGGAAGTAAAGGAGAAAGATCATAGGTTTTCTTTAGACTAGCCTGCCAAGGGCAGGGGAACTCACATTTTCAACTGTAGGATCTACCCGGGCTCTTTTCTTCCTAGGAGGCTGAGGTGTCTCACTGGTACTGCCACCATCTCCATTTCCAGGTGCTGTAAAATGTGTACAGAAGGTAGGGGTGGTATTGGTTAACTAAAATTCTTCATGGTAGAAGATAATGTCTTGATTTATGTTTTCATTTTCCCCATTACAGATGAACAGATCAATTTTAAGAAAGTTCATACTTACTTTTCTGCTTGTTCTTTTTTGTTTTCCTGGAAAGAAAAGAAAGCAAAAATTACTCTAGAAAAACTGTTCCAACTTTTATGAGAAATAAATTCAGAGAAAGATGGCTCACCAAAATTTTCAATGACTGTATTTTAAGTTTGCTTCCCAAAATATTTATCTTGATTTTAGACTAAAAAAATTATTGAGACAAGGTCTTACTATATAGCTCTGGCTGTCTTGGAACTCACTATGTACACCAGGCTAGCCTCAAACTCAGAGATCCACCTGGTCTCTGTGGGAAACTGCACTTTGAAACACACACTCACACATACACATCAGTTTAAAAATTATAAAAAATAAATAATGTAACAAGAAAGGCTGGGTGTGGTGCCGCATACCTTTAACCTCAACATTGGGGAAGCAAAGGCAGGCAGATATCTTTTGAGTGTGAAGCTTGTCTTAAAAAAAAAAAAAATCTAGCCAACTTAAAAAAAAAAAATCTAGCCAACTTTTAAATTTTCCTTTACTTCGTAAGGTTGAAGTTTATAATAGGAAAGACAGTATTTCCAGGTCCCATTAAACTAAGAACTTTACTTGTACATGCATGCCAATGATTCACAGGAACCAAAAGAAACCAGTTCTTATACTCAACTTTATACAGATAGCCTTTTAGAGAAATGAGTACATAACTTTCATACTATGGGCTGGTTGCCAAGAAGCCTTACAATCCAGAGTTTACAAATTATACTTTTTTTCCCCTCATTCTCATTTTATGAATTTTTAGCATTACTGAAAGTAATCTTTGCCAAAATAATTATCTCAAAACTTGTGACTACCTGACAATTCAATACTACCTTTCTAAGAGAAAATCTGTATGTGTACACACATGTAACTTCAAACATGAGGGCTATACAAGCAATTATTGCCACTGAATGGCACACTAATTTAATGTTGCATATATTTTAGTGCAAGGGAGGAAGCGAAGGAAAATCAAGTAGTTAATGTGCATTTTAAATTACTTTAACAACCTGATATCTGAGAAATGAAAATTTCATTGATAGTTTTTAAAAGCTCCCATAGAAACAAAATGCGTATCATGATCAACAGTAAATTTGAATTACACTTATAAAGCAGTATGCAATATTTAAACAAAGAACATCTTACACTTCAACATTTTTCTGTTGCAGACCAGATGTCTTCTTTCCTGGAGCAGCTCCTCTCATCTTGCCCTCTGCATATTGTTCCCTTCAAAAACAATGTCAGGAAGTCATACTTATATGAGAAACAGCAAATTGTGCTTGCTTGATTCCATAGAGAATTTAAATTATATTGAAACTGAAGTTCCCAGCCAGGCACAGTAATGGCACTAATCTCAGCACTTTGGAGAAGTAGGTGGGTCCCTGTGAGGTCAAGGCCAGCAAGGGCTTGCTTGTACAGTGAGACCCTGACTCAGAAAAATTTAAAAAGCTTATCTGTTAGTATCAGTGAACTTCCAAAATGTTCCAAATATCCATGTTGTACAGATTACAAAACTATTACAAAAAGCTTAAAATGAGTAACACACACACACAAATTCTGAAATTGGGGCTGGAGAGATGGCTCAGAGATTAAAGTGAACTGGCTGATCTTCCAGACGACCTGGGTTCAATTCTCAGCACCTACATTGCAGCTCACAACCATCTATAACTCCAATTCCAGGGGACTGAGCACTCTCACACAGATATACATGTACGCAAAACACCAATGCACCTAAGTAATAATTTTTTAAAAAACAGCGCCCTGGCTGCTCTTGCTGAAGTCCTGAATTAAATTCCCAGGACCCACATGGTTGCTCACAACCATATAACTACAGCCCCAGGGGATCTGATGCCCTCTTCTGACATGCATACATGCAAATGAAACATCCACATACACAAAATACAAAAGGCTTAAAAATTTTCTCCCTAGAATTAGGAAAAAGAATTAGTGCTGTGGGATGGTCTGTATGTCAAATCTGTTGCTCTGATTGGTCAATAAATAGAACACTGATTGGCCAGTGGCCAGGCAGGAAGTGTAGGCGGGACTAACAGAGAGGAGAATTAAGGGAACAGGAAGGGAAAGGGAGACACTGTCAGCCGCCACCATGCCAAGCAGCATGTGAAGACACCGGTAAGCCACGAGCCACGTGGCAAGGTATAGATTTATAGAAATGGATTATTTTAAGATATAAGAACAGTTAGCAAGAAGTCTGCCACGGCCATACAGTCTGTAAGCAATGTAAGTCTCTGTGTGTTTACTTGGTTGGGTATGAGCTGCTGCAGGACTGGCGCATTAAGAGAGATTTGTCCTGACTATGGGCCAGGCAGGACCAGAAAAACTCTAGCTACAAATTAGAGTTCTGCTTCTAAGAAAGAAATGGTTTTTTGGTTTTGAAAATTGAGGTCCCTAGCTGGGTGGTGGTGGTACACACCTTTAATCCCAGGACTTGGGAGGCAGAGGCAGGCAGACTGTGAGCTGGAGGCCAGTTTGGTCTACAGAGCTAGTTCCAGAATAGCCAAGGCTATAAAGAGAAACCCTATCTAGAAAACTAAACTAAACCAAAGCAAACAACAACAAAAATATTGAGGTCTCCAAGCCTATATATATATATATATATATATATATATATATATATATATATATATATATATATATATATATATATGCACTGAGAGAAGATTTACAGACATCAGGCCTGGAGAGATGGCTTAAAGGTTTAGAGTACTTCCTGCTCTTGCAGAAGACCTGGGTTTCATTCTCAGCACCCACATGGTGGCCCATAACTATCCACAACTCTGGGGATCTGACTCCCCTTCTGGCCTTCTCACAGATCAGGCACATATGCGGTACCCATACATTACACACACACACACACACACACACACACACACACACACACATATATATATATATACACATACATAAAAGGCAAAACTCATATATATAAATAAAACCAAAAATAACATTTAAAGATCTACAGATATCAAAAGATTCAAGACACTAAGCACGGAGCCAGAAGGCTAGCCCAGGAGGTAAGAGGTAGGTGTTACCAAGCCCACTGACCTGAGTTTTCAATACCTGGGCCCCACATGACAGAAGGAAGAACCAACTACAACCTCCACAATCTTGTCATGGCACACACAGTCCCAATGTTTTCTTTTGATTTGACTCCATGTTATAATTTTAATTTTTTAAAAACTTTAGCTATAAAATTAAAATGTAGTAACTACCCTATAGGTAATTTTTCTGGGTCCTTTTCCCCTCAACATATTTTCATAGATGAATACTAATGGGACTCTTTTCCTTTTTCTTTCCTCATCAGTTAACTGTGCCTTCCACAGCACCAGAAGAGGTTAAACAAGGTATTAATGAGTTTGCACCTACAATTTCCTACACTGTTTTTCTACCAAGTTCTAAAGACAGATTCAAGAATGACAGGATATTTCTTTTACCTAGAAAATATGTAGTTACTTGAAATCAAGCTTTAACGCAGGAACAAGTATCAATCATTTCATCAAAAGTAGAGGGAGTCGCCAACATGATCCTATTTAGTTTATTCCATGTCCAAAAATTTCAAAATGTATTTCTCAAAACAAACAAACTTACTGATTGGCCTTTTGAAGCTCTCGCTGTTTCTGCAAATTGGTGTCCACGTATTTGAGTACTCTGCTTTCTGGAACCCATTCATCCCAACTGAAAAGACAAGTTAAAACAGCACTGAAATACATATCTAATATAGTTTAGGCTCTCTTCCAATTAATTTTTAAAGATCTAAATGGCAAAACTCTGAAATTCCCTTGATATAATGTGTTTTAATTTTGTTCTTTTAACATCTATTTATTTATTTACTTGTGTGTGTGTGTGTGTGTGTGCGCGCGCGCGCACGCGTGTACAAGTGCATGTTACAGAACGTGTGTGATGTGGAAGGCAGAAAACAACTTTTAGGAGTCGATTCTTTCACTGTGTAGGTCCTGGAGATCCAACTTGGTTCTTCACCCTTGGAAGAAAATACTTTTACCCACTGAACCATCTTGTCAACCCTAGTTTTTTTGAGACATTTTTTAATAAATTCCAAGTTGGCCTTGAATTCGTGGTAACCCTCCTACCTCAGTATCCCAAATTCTATAATTACAGGCACACAAAAATCATGCCCAGCTTTTTCTGAAATAATTTGGTAAGCTGGCAATGCAAATCCATTCTCAACTAAAAAAAAAATCTAAGCAAAGTGTGTTTTAAGAAGCATCATTCCAAATATAAACCATGTATGTATATTATTCAAATCATTTTCAAATGGTCTAAGAATAAGTTATTTAAGAGTCTCTAAGCCATTAGCTTTTCAGAATTACAGTACTATCTTAAGTTACACAGCTCCCACATGCTAAAAGTGCATCAGGAACACAGGTCTATAATACTCACCACCTAGACAACTAGACTAAATTTGTACATTAAAGGCTTTCAGTGTTTTTTTTTTCTTTTTCAGATAACCCACTGTTCACTTTCATCTAATCCAAGTAAGCATTCCAATTTCCAAAGGTGATTAACGGCTTTCTAAAAACTCAGGTATCTGGTTTCTCACAAAACAAGCTTTTTGCTGATGTGTATGGAAAAACAAAACTTTCTTGTGGAATGTTGAACTTTTTAAGCAAACTAATTTTTGAACAAAATTAGTCTTTTCTCCTGCTGATGGAGCTCCATTAGTGACACAATCAGGTGTATTCTTGAGGCAATCTTTTACTTAATGATTTCCCACCTCTGACCTCTTATAGAGTATAGCCAAAAGGAAAAGTAGTAAATAAAAAACATTCCTCAACATGATTTCCTAAAGAAAACTTTAAAACATGCATTTACCTAGAGGTCAGGAGGGGGTGGTGTACTGAGGGAGCTCCTTCAGGAACAGGAAAAAGGGCTACAATATCCTCACGTGTCTTCAAAGATTTTTCAGAGCGCCTGGGCCTCACAGCACTTCTGATACAGACAGCACAGTACAAAGTAGTCTCAGTAACTATGTGCAGAATTGAGCTTAAGCTTTATCAAGACTCATTTACAAATGGAATAGTTAATGTCTGTGTGAACAAATTCCAGGAAGATTTTTGAAAATTTAGAACTATCTTAGTATCTACTGTGATTTTGAGAGTGTATCTAGAGTAATGTCTAAAGAAAAATCCAGTGTGAAATTGGAATTTTGCTGTACCAATGTATTTAGAAGGTGTCCTACAGCAGGACATAGAGGTGCACATCTTTAATCCCAGCACTCTGGAGGTAGAAGCAGACAGATCTGAGTTCCAGGCTAGCCTGGTCTACATACCAAGCTCCAGACCAGCCAGGGCTACATATTAAGACCATGTCTCTAAGTAAATTAATAAAAGTGTCCTAGAATAGGACTTTTTTTGGGGGGGCGGGGGGAGGGGGAACTAGAGATTGAGCCAGGGCTCTATGTTTGCTGGGCAAGAAAGAGCTCTACCACTGAAACTACATCCCTATCCATGAAGCCCCCTTTAAAAAGTCCATATCCCTATTCTCCTAAAATTAAAAGGTGCAACTTTTAACTGCTTTAAAACCTTAGAAATTCTCTCCCCCTCAGATGCAAACCACATCTAAACAAGCACTCTGACCAACCAATTACCAAGGCACTCTGACAGCTTATTAGCAAAAGAGTTGAAAATCCTCACGGAAACTGAGGAAAAACAAAATGGACAACCATCTTTGTTCTAAGGAATATCTCTACTAGACTAATAACTGAGGGCCACTCGAATTTTTAAGTATAGATCAAGCATGTAACTTTCATTATTTTCCAAAGCAGTTTTGACTAATCCTAAAAGTCAAATCTACAGGCAAAATTGAATACACACATAATATAACTGACAGGCATTTATTTAAAAAACACTCCTCTCCAATGGTTTTAAGTTTCTCTAGAGCTGGATGTGGTGGTACAAACAAGCCTGTAATCTCAGCACTCTGATTACTGCAAATTCCAGGATAGGCAAAGCTACAAAGGAAGAGCCAGTTTCAAAACAGAAAAATCACTTCTAAATACTTCCTAAAAGCTACAATGGCACGTTTAACAAGTCAACTATAAAGACACCTATGATATTCTCACTACACTGCAGACAGTCATAAAAACCTGTAATGTCTGCCACCACCCCCAACCCCCTATTTTCCCAAGAGAACAAGAGTTTTAAAAAACTACCACTTATTTCTGTCATGAACTACAACCCAACAAAGGAAAAACTACTTTTTTAAAAAAAGTAAAACCAGAAAACTAGAGGTTTTGGTTTTCATAAAAACCATTTCATATGGCAATCTACATAAATAGCTACCTAACATATAAGAAGACTGAAGCATAAAAGTGTATTTTAAATTAAAATGTACAAGGGAAGGGTAAGTAGGCCCACTCCATGAATCTGTTTTGTGTTCTCCTTTCATACTTTATATGGACTTTTAACTTTCTGATCCCTAATATGCATAAAGAAAATATTCTACTTCCTGTAGGAAAGCATCTATTACACATTTTATCTGGATATTAGCAAAATATCAGCCTCATAAACTAAGATGAAATTCAGTTTTCAGTTCTTTTTTTAAATATAAATACTCTAGAAACCATAACATAAAAGTCTGTTTCCTGAATATTTCAATCAACTTAAAAAAAAATCGAAATTTATTTATTTTTGAGACAGGGTCTCACTATGTAGTTCTGGCTGGCCTGAAGAGATCAGCCTGCCTCTGCCTGAGTGCTAACATTAAAGAAATGTGCCAGCACACCTAGTTCCCATTTTCTTAATACATGACTGGGGTAATTCTGAAATACTGACAGTACCTACTGATCATTATTAGAAATACTTTATTCACAAGTTATCAGAATTTACTTTCATGTATTTTGAATTGTGGCCTTTCTACAATTATATTAATGAAATAGGTTAAAAGTTTGGTATTTCTCACCTAAAAGCATTTACCTATTTGTAACAAATAAACTGAATTAACTGGTTGGGCTTTTGGATAAAGAACTATATAAGGTGAGACCCAAATTATGGGGCCAGTAAACTTAACAGAAGAAAAAGAAAACTTTTCCTCTACATCAAGAGTACCCATCACAACAGTTGGCATTGTTCCCATATAAAGAAGTACTAGACTCTGGGTAAAGTGAGACAAAGCATTAAGCATTACAAGATATCACAAAGTAATTCTTGAAATGGCTAATTCTTTGCAATGCCATTCCTGAAGTACAAAAGATCAATAATAAAAAGGATTTAAAACTTCTCCTAGTAAGCTGGATGTGATGGCAAAGGCCTTTAATCCCAAAGGCAGGTCAATCTCTATGAGTTCTAGGCCAGCCTGGTCTACAAAGCAAGTTCCAAGACAGCCAAGGCTACACAGAGAAACCGTCTCAAAAAACCAAAATCTCCTAGTAAAAATAAACCACTCAATTACAGACACCAAAGGCCTAAATAATTTATTAGGTTCTGTTATGTTTGGGTCTCAAAGAGAACACTAATGAGAAAGCTCCAATAACCACTAGAAAATTAAATTCTGTAAATGAGAATTTCCTATGCTGAACCACATGAAACTACTTTCTGTTAACATTATGTTTCAAAACTTCATAAAATGGGTTTATAAACTGTCAATTCTAAAACATTTTCCTCTGTTCTCCTTTTCTACAATTAGTTTTGAGTTTAACTGCTTGAATAAGAAAGATAAGTCAATTGGTTTGTGCTCAGGCCAAAAATATTCAGGCTATTCTAAAACATATGCCATAAAAAATGTATGTTGACTCATAATTCAACCAGGACAGCTGGTCAAGTATAACCACTGAGCACTACAAAATAATACAAGAAATATTCCCAAAACTCAAGTACATATAAAATGGCTGAGTTCTCCCTAATGTAGCTACATCATACTAACAATGGCTCACCCTTGCTCCGATATATAACAGTGGACAAAATGCTTTTAAAGATCTAATACTCACTTTTTATTCCAACCACTGTAATGGATAAAGTATTTCACTTGTTTGTCCTTTATGGCAACCTTTACACACTGAAATAAAAAAAAGAAAAAGTCTTTGGTATTACACATAATCTTATCAAATTTGCATCCTAATGACAGATATGTTCTTTCTAAATAATTAAATCTTGGCTGAATTATTTAGTACTACTGTAAAACTTTAGAGTTGGTGGTCAGTTTGATTTTATAATCTTAGTGCTGAGAATACTTTTCTATACAAAGTTACAAAACCACAATTTAGAAATGAACACAGCCAGGCAGTGGTGGCGCACGCCTTTAATCCCAGCACTCGGGAGGCAGAACCAGGCGGATGGATCTCTGTGAGTTCGAGGCCAGCCTGGTCTCCAAGCGAGTTCCAGGAAAGGCGCAAAGCTACAGAGAAACCCTGTCTCGAAAAACCAAAAAAAAAAAAAAAAAAAAAAAAAATGAAATGAACACAAAGCTGACAAACAGCATAAAAAGAGGTCACTATAAATCAACAGTTTAGATCTGCTACCCAAGGTCAGGAAATGAAAGCTATTCTTATGGTTTTTCAAACTCTAGCTAAGAACTACATTTCTTTCAAAAATACAATCTCATCAGTTTATGAACTACAGTATGCTTTAAAAGCATTCTTGGGCTGGAGAGATGGCTCAGAGGTTAAGAGCATTGTTTTCCCTTCCAGAGGTCCTGAGTTCAATTCCCAGCAACCACATGATGGCTCACAACCATCTCTAACCAGATCTGGTGCCCTCTTCTGGGCTGCAGAGATATGTGCAGATAGAACTGTGAATACATAATAAATAAATCTTTAAAAAAAAAAAAAAAAAAAAAAAAAAAAGCATTCTTAAAAGTAGCCGAACAAAACAAATTACTGGAGGAAAGTCACTGTGACAGTCATGATTATCTCACTTTAGATTTAAGGGTGTTCACTGTAGACCAAACAATGGTTTATTCCTATCACTATTTAAAAATTTTTTCACCAGATTATTCTGCTGCTAGAGAAAAAACAGCCAGTTCAGATATGTTTGCCAAAAGTTCATACAACAAACATTGAAAAACATACAAGATCAAAGGGACTCACAGTTATAAACAAGCACCTAGACATTCAAAACATGAGCAGTAAACATTTTCAGCTAGAATTGTCTGGCACTATGTGTTCAGTGTATTTTCATACAAATATAAAGCTAGATATTAACCCGAAGTCACTTTTAAGCATTATGCATATAGTGTGTATGAGAGTGTGTGTCTGTGTCACTGCACTTTGGTTTTCTGTACTAGGGACTGAACCAGGGCCTCACTTGTGGAAAGTACTTTACCACTAAGCGTTCCCTGCCTTGTTTACTACTTTGTTGAGACAGGGTCTCACTAAGGCCATCCTTTAACTCTGTACTTCAAGTAATCTTTCTGTCTAAACTTCCCAAGAAGCCTGGTTCATTGGCCTGTGTCATTCAGTTTACATGTTTGTGTTTTTTTGGCGGTGTTGGGGAGGGTAGCACTGAGACTGAGCTCAGGGCCTCATTCATGGTAGGCAAATATTCTACCATGTAACTAGCCAGCAGCCTTTGTGTTTAATTCTTAAATGCCTGCCCAGGCACACCTTTAATTCTAGCACTGAGGAGGTTAGAGGCAGTCCCATCTCTGTGAGTTCAAGACCACCCTGGTCTAAATAGTGAGTTCCAGGCCAGCTAGGGCTACAAATTAAGTATCTGTCTCAAAAGTAATGTTTAAAATGTGTAATGACAACCAGAGCATGGTAGTTCACATCTGTGTGACCGCAGCATAAAAGGGTGAGGCAGGAGGCTTGCTGTTAGTTCAAAGCCAGCCTGAGCTAGTGAAAACCCAAGTCTCAAAACCACCAGACAAACACAAAGAGAAACAAACACACACTCGAGTGCAAGGAGAGAAGTATCAATTGTTAAAGCTGAGGAAATGGTTCAGTGGATAATGGTGCTTTCCATGCAAGCAGGATGGCTCATATGATCCCAGAACCCATATGATCCTGGTGCTCCTACACTGAGGTGGAAGGTGGAGGAGGAAATCTAAAGGTCAAATAGAAAAGATGTCTCAAACACAGGAAGAGACTGGCACCTGAGGTTGACATCTGACCTCAACACTCATGAGGTTTTACACACCTACATGCACAAGTGCTTGCAAACACACACAGTAAGTGTGGCTCTGACATTGCTTTTTGCCGAGTTATTAACTATAAAATGCTATTTGTTACAACCAACAGATCTTCATCTATCACTTCAATGCTATTTCCACCAACAGGCTTTTACTGAGTGAGTTTAGAAAGGCAGAAGAGTAGCAATATCTGAACTTTCTCCATCCACCACAAAGCAAGCAGTAACAAACTCAAAATGAGATGGGAAGATTTATGAAACAAATGGAATCTTTACATATCCAGTAAGAAAATATTATAATTTGATATTAAAAAGTCAAACCTAGTCAACATTTCTGGCCACCTTCTCAAAAGAAAGTAGGTTCCATACCTTTGCTTCATAGAGAAGAGGCCCATGAAAGCACAGCACTCGCTCGCCTGTAAAAGAGGGGGAAAAAGGGCCAAGTTAATCCTGAGTCCTTTGTCATATAGAAAGATGTGACAACAAGGGCCACTGCACTTGATTATAACAGTCTCAGCAAAACTAGGAATAATAATGGGTAAGACTATACATGAACACTTCAGAACAAACTTTACCATATCCTTAATATCCAAGTTTAACAAAGGCTAACTTGAATTTCTACTTATTTAAATAATCTAATCACCTAATTAAATCTACTATAGTTACCTATGGGATAATGTTTGGCTAGTTCACCTGTTCTAATCTGGAAACAATTTTTAAAATGTTCTTCTCCAAGTGTCTTTCTAAGTTTAGTCACTTAGCTGATCTCTACTTCCTTTGACTGAATACTACACATTAAATTTTCTGATCGAGGGGCTGGAGACATGTCTTAGCAGATATGAGTACTCTGCTCTTCCATAGGACCCAGATAGCAGTTCACAGCTGTCTACAACTCCAGTTCCAGGGGATCTGGCATCTTCACACAGAAATACATGCAGGCAAAACACCAATGCACATAAAAATAAACCTTTAGAAATAAAAAGTTAGTTCTGATCGAATATATCAATTTTTTAAATGTTATCCTACCTCTGTTTATTCCTCATTATTCCAGAAGCTAGGCTATTTCAATGAACAACAGACAGAACAATCCTAACCCTGGGAACTTACACCCAATGTTGACTCAACCACTGGCACTTGCAAATCCAAATAAAATCTGGCTAGAGTTAAAACTTAATACATCTGTGCTTATCAAACAAATTGGGTGGGTGATTTCTGGACTCTGACTCCACATGATGACAGTGGAAGTTTATCCATACATTTTCAGTCCACTTGCTTTTAACACACTGCAAGGAGACTGATGTACCCAACAGGGTCAGCTATGTTGTTCCAAAATTGTATCTACTAGTCCTATGCTGAAAAAAACTACATTAAAAAAAAATATATATATATATATTATGGGCCTGGCATGGTGGCACACACCTTTAATCCCAGCACTCTTGAGTTCAAAGCCAATAAATACATAGACCAGCCAATGCTACATGGTGAGACCCTCTCTCAAATGTGGCCTTTAAAACATCTATTTGCTGGATCTGTTGTGCCAGCATTTCATATTAATAAAGGACACATAGGTAAGCATTATTTATATCATTTTTCTACACTTATATTGTACTTTTCTTCCCATTAAGTGGCAGAGACCCAGTCAGTTACTTGGGGAGGGTTTACAGAAAAAGGAGGATCCAGACAGCAGAAACAAGTGTGGGAAAGTGTAGTAATATATACATAGTTTGATACCCATGGAACATAGAATGAACATGTAAAAGTAGAAGGGAAACATGCTGATCCTGTCCACCTCCTGGAATTTCAGTCTTCCTACCATATCTAATGAGCCAAAGGCTTTGTGCATGCCAGGGGAGCATTCTTCCAACTCAGCTACATACATCCTTAGCCTCTAGAGTGCTTTTTGAAGCTATTATTACTTCTGAGCTTCAGCACAAACCGCTATCGTTAGACTTCCAAAATAAGATTCAGTAACTTTAACATCAAGGTTCTCCATAAAATCTTGTACTACTTATAACTGTTAAAAGCATTACTAGACCTTGAATAAAGACCACAGTCTGGGAGTAAAGACTCAAACAAATGGGTAAAACATTCTGTTATTAAACAGATGCACTAAGATCAGATCTGTGATTTCACTCCAAGTACCTTTTAAGCTACTCTGAAATAATACACCTTTTTAAAAATTGGCCGCTTTGAGCTGGGTGGTGGTGGTGGCGCACACCTTTAATCCCAGCAATCAGAAGGCAGAGGCAGGTGGATCTCTGTAAATTCAAGGCCAGCCTGGGCTACAGAGTTCCAGCGAAGGCTCCAAAGCTACACAGAGAAACCCTGTCAACAAAAAACAAAAAATTGGCTGCTTCAGCTAAAAATGACTACACTAAGGCTCTCTGAATCCTAATAATTATATATATGTATGCACATATATAAACAACTTCACTAAGTAAGGCCCTTTGAATCTGAAAAATATATATAATGCATCTAGCTGGTGTAAATCAGGCTAACAAGTGAAGTGGACAGAAAAATTAAGGAAAGAACAAATTACAACAGCACAGTTCTCCACCCTTAGATCCACTCTAGTCTCAAACTACAACAACCTTGCCCTGGACTGTCTCCTTACTAGCTTGAAATTATTTACAACATCCCCCCAGGGGACTGAGAAACTGTTCCATTCCCAGCACCCACAGAGAGGCTCACAACTCCAGTTCCTGGGAATCCAATGCCTTCAGAGGGCACCAGGACCATACATAGTACACATACACACATGTAGGCAACACACTTATACACATAAAATACACACCCTCACCCACACAAAAAAATGTATATTCACCACCACCTTTCACTATCACAATTCTACCCAAGACTTCAAAATAATCCCATCAATACTAAATATTTTTCCTTTCCAGATGTTCTCTGAGCTTTTATTTATCGTGGGGGAGGGGAGAAGGTACATGCATACAAGACACTGTACATATGTAGAGGTGTAAAGACAACTTGTGGGAAACAAGTTCTCTACCTCCATCGTGGGCCCAGGAATCAGAGTCAAGGTGGGGACAGAACATCCTATATGGTATTTTATACATAATTTTTAAAAGGTAGCTATGTATTTTAGCTTGCATTTTTTTCTTTTGGTTTTGAGACAGGGTCGTCTCCTGTAGCCCTTGGCTGGTCATCCTCCTGCCTTTGCTTCTCTAATGCTGGAATTTTAGGCGTGTGTCACAACCAGCTACACCTAGAAACCGCAGCTGAAAATGAATGGTAAGGGCAGGAATTTACAAAGCTTTCATAACCCTACCCTTTCTTCCTACTCTTCTCCAATTACACCAACACCCTCTTTCCATGTTTGCCTCAGGGAAGCACTGGGCGACAAAGCTCTCTCTCCAGCCCCTCAAAACTATTTTAAGTATCACATTCTATAATATTAAGAGAACTTACAAGGTACCATAAATAAGATTTAGCTGATGCACTCTGAAGAATGAAGCAGAATCAATATAGTGGCCAAGTCTACATACCAAGACTTGCCTCAAAAACAACAAAAAACTTTCTCTTAACACCTAGCAAAATAACAAGGGCCACAATTTCTCAAACTGGGAGAAAAGTATTAAAGTCCGCATCAAAATATCCCCGGAATACCCTTAAGTATAGTTAAGTTTGGGGTTTATTTTTTTTTTTAAATGTCTAGCACCTTAATGGCTAAACAACCCTAAACAAGTTAGGCAGGCGTCCGGACTCGGCATGTACATAACAAGCACATACGGTCATGGCAATAAACGGTTCAAAGTGTTCGTTCCTCTTTATGCTTATCCTTTAGCGTACTATTAAACCACCTCGATAACTAAGTTATGAGAACTGAGTAACTGCTTTCCACTGAAAGTACCGTTAAACAGCACCGCTGTTCTCGACCTAAGCCAGTTAATAAACATTAGCTTTCAAATCGCCATTAATCGAATACTACTGCAACCAGTCAAGCAACTTCGGCATGTAAAAATGACGAGTCCAAGGACCTCTAAACAGAAACTCCCTGGGGTGGAACTCAAATTGTTTTCCCGAGCAACTGCCCTGCAGAGCACATGCAGTCCAACAGGATTCTGGCGCTCCGCTCCAAAGGCAGCAAAAGGATGCCTTCGGGCAACGGCAAGCCTAGGCACCCGCTCGGGCGGCTCACGGTTTTTCTGTCCCCACCCACCACTCGGGAGGCAAAAGGAGGCATTCGTCTGCCAGTGGTCTGGGTGCCAGGGGGCGCTGCACCTGGCCCGAAGCCGCACGAAGGCGGCGAGACGCCGGCAGCCATGATGGCGCGGCCATCTTGGCGCGGCCATCTTAGAACGCAGTTCTCCCGCCGCGGGGCGCCCGGCCCGCTCCGGGCCCTCCGGCCGCTGGGGACTCCACCGAACGCTGACATCGCCCCAGTGGGCCAAGCAGCCGCGAACCTCCAGCCCACAGTCGCCCACGCGGCCCGGGGCCGAGCGTCAGCGCGGGGATGGGCTGCCGCTGCTCCCCTCCCCCACGCCACATCACTTCCTAACCGTCGCCATCGCTCGCCCGCCCGCCCGCTCGCCCGCCCGCCGGCCGCCTCCCTACAATAGGCTTTCCCCGCTCTCCGAAAAACAAACAAGCACCGGGGCCTTGCCACACGCGCGGGGCTCCCTCGGCCCTGCCTGTGCCGGAGGCACGCCTTCGTGCCACGAAGCACTGTCGCCAGACAGAGGACGCACCCACATGCCCCTCCGCAATGCGCCTTTCCCCCCTCACAAAGCACTGCCTGCAGCTGCCCCAGGCCGCGAGCCGCGCCGACCCCGACCCCCAAACCTCAACCGCCCCGAGTCCGCCTCCCTCCCCTGCGCCGTTAGCTGCCTTCTCCCCAAAGCTGCACACTCACCCTCCTGGAATTTGGGCTTCGGGTCCTGCTTGGGCGCCATTTATAAGTGATTCGCCGCCTCCTCCTTCTCCCACCACCCCCGACTACCGCCCCCTACTCTCTACCCCACCCAACTTAGCGTCAGAAGCGCCGTCGGGAACAGCCAGCTCTACATCCTGGGCGCGATTTGCCAGCGCCGCCTGACCTCACAGCGCCGCGACCCCAACAGCCGCCGCCTCGGCCAACGGCTGCCCGCCGCGCACGCAAGCCTGCGCCCGTGCCGCCCCCGAGGCACGCCGGGATTGGTAGTTCGGCCCCCGGCTGACGCGAAGCCTGGTGGGGGGAGGGGAAGGGAGACGCCTTCCCTCCCCCTTCCCCCCTCCCCCATTCCCCTCTCCTCCCCCCCCCCCCCCCCGCCCGCCCAGTCTCCCGAGTATCCAGACCCCCAGGGGCTTGCTAAAACCCAGATTTGCTTTTCTATCAGTGGAAAGGAGGAAGAAATAAGTAAATCACTGGCTGGCGAGGGAAAGGATGGAAAAGGCTCAGGGACAGATGCTTATATGCAAGATGAGGTCACGAAGAGGAGGGGTGTTGAAGTGGCCTGAGGACAGGACTGTCTCTGCAGCCTGTGCTCCGCAGCATCAGCAGCATCAGCAGCACTCTGCCTAGGAGAGCTTTGAAGGCCAGAGATGAAGCTAGAGGCCAGCAGGAGGGAGCTCCGCTCCAGAAGCGTCAGTGTTTAGAAAGCCGTGCCCTGTTTATTGGGTCGGTGCCATGACCATTTGTAGATTCCAGCTTCTGACTTCTCACTCACTCAGTCCCACAGAAGGAGGCAAACCTTTTTTGATGCCAAAGTCAGGGTTCCATACCTGACCTCTCTGTACCCTTTTTGTCATCTTATTTCTTTGAGGTAGTTTTGAATGTATACGCAATCTGAAAAAAACAAAACCCAAAACCCTTTTTCACATCGTTCCTCTGTTCAAAAATTTCTTAGTGTGCCTGCTGTGAAATAACACTGTACCCACAGAATTACATGAATTGCATACAAAACCTTAGAGCTGTTAACTAGGAGGTACATCCAAAAATCCTGATATTTGAATCCTTTCCACAGTCTGCAGCTACCTACCTACCCTAGGGAAAGCCTTTGGGTTCAAGGCTTTTCTTTTGTAAACAGACTCACTAGATAGCCCTGGCTGGCCTGGAACTGGCCATGTAGACAGGGCTGGCCTTGAACTCATAAGAATCTACCTGACTCTGCCTCCTGAGTCTCTGTTTCTAATTTTCTGTTTTGTTTTTTATTTTGTTTTTTGTTTTGTTTTTGTTTTTTGAGACAGGGTTTCTCTGTGTAGTCCTGGCTAGCCTGGAACTGGCCATGTAGACTGGGGTAGCCTTGCACTCAAAGAGATCTACCTGACTCTGCCTCTAATTTTCTGTTGTTTTTTCGACACATGGTTTCTCTATGTAGCTCTGGCTGTCCTGGAACTAGCTCTGTAGACCAAGATAGCCTCAAACTCAGAGATTTGCCTGACTCTGCCTCCTGAGTGCTGGGATTAGAGGCATGTGCCACCACACTCGGCTTCTGATGTATTTTAAACTACTTTATAAAAGGCTTCCTCTGCTTACATTTTAACTAGCAACTTAAAAAAATACCTGTTTTCCCACATTCTTGCCAAACATGGTATTCCCACTCTCTGATTTTAATACAAGTGAAGTGTGTTGTGCAAAAGAAGCAAGATACAAGAGTAAGTATACGTTTATCAATGGGTTAGAAATCAGGACAGTGTTTAACTGGATGTCCAGGGTGGGTAGAGGGAGATAAATAGGAAAGAGGCACTAAGGAATCTTGAGATGCTAGAAATGTTCTATATCTTGATTTTTAGATCTTGTATGATTATGATCATGTGCATTTTTAAGCATGACCTTATGTAATGCACTTTATCATACCTATATTATACCTTAATAACACATCTTAAATTTATTTATTATGTGTGCTGCACATATTGGAGGTCAGAAGACAGCTTGCAAGAGCCAGTTCTCTCTTTTTTTCATGTGGGTTCTGGGTATAGAACTCAGGTGATCAACCTTAGCAACTGGTTCCTTTAGCCATTGAACCATCTAGCCAACAAAAATATGTTAATGATCATTTTAAAATGTTTTGTTATAAGGAGTGGAGAAGTGATTCATCAGTTAAGATCACTGTTTAAAGACCTGGGTTCAGTTCTCATCACCTACATGGCACCTCACAAGTAGCTCCAGTTCCAGTTAGAAAAGCAGTAAGTGCTGTTAACTAATAAATGGTCAATACAGCCCCTCCCTTTTTAAAAAATATTGTGTATGGAGACAAGTGCCACAGTCCACATGTGGAAGCCAGAGGACTGCTCAGTGGAGTTGATTCTCTCCTCTCACCTTATGTGGGTTCTGGACTGGAATTCAGGTCTCTCTCTAGGCCCGCACAGTAAGAGCCTTCATTTGTTGTGCCATTTAAAAAAATTAGATCAGAAGGGCTTAATCTAGAAGCCCATGATCCTAATTCAAAGGGCATAGGGATTTTTTTTCTTAGTGCTGGCAGTCAAACTCAGGGCCTTGCACATTCTAGGTAAACACTCCATCCCTGAACTACATTCTCAGCTCAAGGGTCCATGAATTTGCATGAGCCAGAAAAATGACATTGTTTTCTCCCAACTCAAGCTAAAATGTAGTATTTCTTTATAAATGAAGAAAGTGAGGCTGGAGAGATGGCTCAGCAGTTAAAAGAGCTTGATGCTGCGTTCATTTACCAGGACCCACATGGCAGCTCACAACTGCCTGTAACTCCAGTCAGTACCAGGGGATCTAATACCTTCTTCTGGCCTCTGTGTGGCACACAAACATGGAGACAGAACACTCATACACAAAATAATAGATAGGTAGGTAGGTAGGTAGGTAGGTAGGTAGGTAGATAGGTAGATAGATAGATAGATCGATCGATCGATCGATCGATCGATCGATAGATAGATAGATAGATAGATAGATAGATAGATAGATAGATATAGGACCAATGAGATGGCTCAGAGGATAAAAGTCTTGTCTCCAAACCTGATGATCTGTGTTTGATACTCAGGCTCCATATGGTAGAAGAGTTGAATCTTACTAACACACATACACCACACACACACACACACACACACACACATACACCACACACACACACACACACACACACACACACACTGGCACAAGTGCCCCCACGCAAACACACAGCAAGTAAATGTAATAAAATTGTTTTTTGTTTGCTTGTTTGTTTTTTGTTTTTTGAGACAGGGTTTCTCTGTGTAGTTTTGGTGCCTGTCCTGGATCTCACTCTGTAGACCAGGCTAGCCTCGAACCACCTGGCTCTGCTTCCCGAGTGCTGGGATTAAAGGCATGTGCCACCGCTGCCAGACTTAAAAGTGTTAATAAATTAAATAAAAATACTTTAAAATATGAAATAAATGACCGGGCGGTGGTGGCGCACGCCTTTAATCCCAGCACTCGGGAGGCAGAGTCAGGCGGATCTCTGTGAGTTCGAGGCCAGCCTGGGCTACCAAGTGAGTTCCAGGAAAAGGCGCAAAGCTACACAGAGAAACCCTGTCTCGAAAAACCAAAAAAAAAAAAAAAAAAAAAAAGAAAGAAATGAAGATGGCAAGCCATGCTATTTGGCAGCACGTGTGTCTGACTTTGTCCCCAGTGGAAATTAAGCTGCTTTCTGATCACATTCCACACGTTACAGTTCCTGCATATATCTCAGAAATATCATTGACGTTCGTCACTCCTTTGAAATTACTGTGCTTGGGGCTAGAGAGATGACTCAGTGGTTAAGAGCATGTACTGCTATTACAGAAGAGCCAAGCTCCCTTTCCAGCCGTTGCCAGACAGCTCTTCAACACCTGTAACTACAGCTCCAGGAGGATCTGATGCCTCCAGCCTCTGAGGGCATCTGCATTCACGCACATGGACACACACACAGGCACACACATAGTCACGTGGTTAAGAATAAAACAGATCTTGAATTTTGTTACTTATTAGACCTGATCTAGATCCTATTATTTAATAGATTAATGTTAAAGTATGTACCTACCGGATGTTTAAGTATTTAATAGCTTTATTTTTTATAAAATTATTTACTTTTTTAATCTTGTGCTTTTTATTTTATATATCCGAAAACATTATAAGAAAAGAGTTCATTGGCTGAACTGACTGCCACCAAGACTGGAGGAGGATTCTGTGGCACAAATACAGCACACACCCTGTGTTAATGGTGGTAATAGTATTGGTTATTTGTTTATGGTATTCAAATTCTGAGAAACGTGAGCTGTTTTGAATGTCTGACATGACTTTTACTTTATATATGTGTTTGTTTCTCCATCTGTATACACACATATGTGTTTTGTGTTGTATATGTAAGTGGGGGCACATGCATGCCACTGCAGAGTCAGAAGGTTGGAGGATAAGCCATAGGAATGTTGAGATTTCAGTCACTTGACCCCACCTCCTGCTTTCTCTGGGGTCTGTGGATTTGAACTGAAGTCTTCAAGCACTTT